GGTAGAAAAAAAAATTAAAAAAAAAAAAAAAAAACACCTCCAAATTATGGAGGGACCATGGTTTTGGTCCAGGGTAGGGATGTGCAAGGCAAGGAGAATAGAAGTCAAGGCAGCACAATACTAGAAAAATTATCCATGGAATGTGATATTATAAAAAGCATAGTGTAAGAGAGTAGATTGAGCCAGGAACTTAATCTTAAAAGAAAAGAGTTTGAGTCCAGCCAGCATGGCTCAGTGGTTGAGCATTGACCCATGAACCAGGAGATCGTGGTTCAGTTCCAGGTCAAGGCACATGCCCGGGTTGTGGGCTCGATCCCCAGTCGGGGGCGTGCAGGAGGCAGCCGATCAATGACTCTCATCACTAATGTTTCCATCTCTCTCTCTCTGTCTCCCTTCCTCTCTCACTGAAATCAATAAAAATAAAAAAAAAAGTTTGATTTGGGTATGATGACTGGCAACAAGGAGAGGTAGCAAGTGGTCTAGACCGATGACATGAGATTCAGAGATGTAAGTTTTTAGGTAAGAGGAGAGAAGAAGAATGGCCTGGAGCAGTGCAAAGGAGTAAGGAGCACTCTTATTCCACTCCCAGGCTGGTGTGAGAGAAAACAGCTACCACTGAGAGAGCTTCTTGGAAAGGGGAGCCCTTCAGAGGGAACCATGGTTAGTTAGAGCTAGAATATTTAGGGACGAGGTGAAGCATGTGGCTCACTGCATCCCAGGCAGTGTACGGTGAAAATGTTTCAAGAGTTGGAGCACGGTACAAGATGGGAACAAAACTAGGGCTATGCATAGCATATAGAGATTGAGGGGTGATTCGGAGGCCTGGATTTCTCACAGGGACAGACGTGATCAGAGTTAAAAGCCATGTTGAGATAAGGTCCAAGTTGTCCAAGGCACAGAGAGGTGGTACAGCTTGAAGGGAGAGGAGAGTAGGGGTCTCGCCAGGGCGTATTGTCTAGTTTGTGACAGAGGCATGGAGGCAGCAAAGGGGCAGTGTTACCCTCACTAGGCGGAGCTGATTTTGTCACGGACATTGATTATATCAGAACTGATTTCCCCTTACTCTCCTACTTCCCCACTCCATCAGATTCCTTTTCCCTGGACTCCAAGGAGACCATGATCCTTTTCTTGTTGCATAATTTATTCTACCCTCTCCCTCGAAGATCTGGCTCTGCTTTTATTCCCCGCTGGTTCCTTCCTTCAGGCTGCAGACATGTTCAAGTCTATCCCATTACAGACCAAAAGGCACCCCTTGGGCCCTACTTCCCTTTCTAACTACTCTTAACCTCCCTCCTTCCCATCCAGACTTCAAAAGAGAAATCTACAGCACCGTCATCTCTCTCTCCCTTTTTCATTTGGTCCCTAGTCGATTGCTCTCGGCTTTTTGTCTTTGTCTCTAGTCCTGTGTCTTTCAAAACCAGAATTATCTATCTAAAATCATAATGTGTCTGCGTCATTTCCCAGTCTCCGGTGCTTTAATGATTCTCTACTGGCAACAGGTAGGACAAAATGAAAGCTTGATCCGCACCGCACTCATGCTTTTCTCTACGCTTTCTCTCAGCTGGTTTTCTTGGCCTGGGTCATCCATTCTTCCTCTTTACTGGGACTTAAACTTCAGGGTTTTTCCCCCCAGAATGTCCTAGGTTGGGTAGGTAGGTACCCCTCATCACTTTTCCCTTAGTATTCTGTGCATACCCCCCCCTTTTTTTTCACTGTGAGTGGTCTATTCACTGTTGTATCCCTCACTCCTGATTGCCTGCCACACAGGAAATACTTAACAAATTTATTTTTCAATGCATAAAGAATGAATGAAGGAGAAAATAGATCCTTTTAGCAGGCATTCACATCCTGATAGCCAGAAAGGCATACTTCTCATTTTAAAATCCATATTTAGCATTCTCATTAATGATAAATGTTGAAAGTTTCTTGCATGCCTCGTGATTATGAGTAAAACTGAACCTGCTAACCCAGGGTTAAATGGATAAAAGTCCATTCTGAAACAGACCGGAAGCTGAGTTTGCGGTGAACCCTCTGAGGGAGAGATGCCCTGTGATATTCGAGCTGATCAGCTTGCCACCTGTTTTATTGTCATCCCCTGCCACAGGATCTTCCTGATACACTGTGACTATTTTTATAGCTATTTTCTTTGGCAACCGTACACATGCTCACAGGACAATAGGCGATTTGTCAAAATAAATGAGATAAATAGCCTGGTGTAGAGAGAAAAAGTCAAGATAAACCTTTGACAAGACTGAAAGTCTAATTTATTACGTGTCTCATAGGTCTCTTCTGGTGATTCTGAAGCCAAACCTCTGATCTTCACATTTGTCCCCACTGTCAGAAGACTACCAACCCACTCTCAGTTGGCGGACACCTCTAAATTCCTTGTTAAAATTCCTGAGGAACCAAGTGATAAGAATCCAGAAACTGTAAATAGGGTAGGATTATTTTTATTCTTTTTTTTCATATCAAGCAATTGACATTACATTATCCAAAATAATGACTTAGAAATTTGTATGAATGTTTATTTCCTCCGCTTAAAGTGAGATGACTAAGAAATCTAAGGTTGACTAAAAATATAATTATGTAACATGAACTTAAATGTTATCTAATCCCATGTTCTCTCTAATACATCATTCTCAACCCTTTTGAGTTGATATCCTATTGTTTGCCTCCTGCTACCTCCCCTTCTCTCAAATGTATTTTAAAATAATAAAAAAAAAATTAAAAAGAAGTTTAAATTTATTTAGAAAGAAAATACAAAATAAAACAGTGAGGAGCTACTATTTTACATGTAATAAATTGGCAACATTAAAAAACTATAATACCCAATGTTCGGGCTATTATGGGGATATCCACATGCTCACATTTTGCTGCTAGTTTTGTGAATATGTACAATTTTGGTGGAAAACCTTTATCCACTGTCATAAAACTGTTCATAGCCTTTCAATAACCTAATTCTTGGAAATGTATCCCAAAAAATAGGACAAAAGAAGAAAAATGTTATATAGAAAAATAATTAGGGAAAAATAAAAACAGCATAATAGCAGAAAAGTTAAGAATATGATAATACCTCTCCTTGACAAGGTTATAGCCATAGCGATTAGGTAATTCCATGGAAAATGTTAACCTTATGATATTATCTGGTAAAATAGGTTATAAAATTGTATTTATACCCTGATTATACCTATCTAAAATGAGGCCAAGACTAAAAATAAAATTAAAACAAAACAAACAAAAACCTAAAAATGACTTATGCTAGAATAATGATGACATTGTGGGTAAAAAAAATTTTTTTTCTTTAAAATGTGTTTTAATACTGTCTTATTTTAAAATGTGATGGGGGAACTTTGTGGTACTCTTGAGCCAACTGGAAGGGCGTAAAATAATCTGATTTATTTTGTCTATATGAAAATATCTTATCTAACAAGTGGTAATATATCTGGGATTCTGGGATTTTCAATGCTGTCTTATTTCAAAGACAATTGGAGCTAAATTATTTTAGAGAAATCTTGAATACTACATAAGGCATTTCTGGGAAATCTCTTTCTAACAGTACTCAAATGCATATAATATATTCATGGGATCCTTTGTTATCAGGCACTGTGATTATGTGAGACTATAGATATATGAACCAATTTTGGTTGCAAATTTCCAAAGCTTCCTAGGATGATGATATTCATCTGATGACTGCAATGATACACACACAACTACATCATTAAAATAAGATTAAAGTTTTTTCTTTCTATTTTTTAAACAGTTCAGTATTATAATTGAACAGGGTAAATAATCTCTCTTTCTTTCTATATTTCACAACTATTTACTGAATACATGTTGCATGCTGGGTGCTGTGGATTCTGAGTGAATAAAGTCAACTCATACCTTATTTGTTATTGGGAATGCAGACAATGAAAAAACTGAAAAGTATATAATAAAATCTCAGGTAGTCATAAATGCTGTGAAAATGCATCAGAGTAAAGGAGTAGAGAATGATAGACTATGGGGGAAGGGAGTTCTTTTAGATCATTAATAATGTTTCCAAAAACTAGTTCAATTTTTTGCTAGTTTGGTAGTTATTTCATTACTTTTCATAATAAGAAATTTGTCATTGAACACTCCTATTTTTAACTTAAACTTTCTTCCAATTTGGGGTTTTGTTACTGTATAATATTATAATTAATATGTGAAGTGACCATTATCAGAGAAATCCTAATTAGAGGCAATTTGTGTTGTATCTTGACTATATCATCATCAGCTGAAAAGTGTGGAGTGGGTGTGTCAAGTCAATTCCTTAGCTTAGTTACACCTAATCAATGGTTTGACTTCTGTCTTCACACACACAAAACACATACATGCATATTATCATACATTAAATTGATGACTATAGTTGAAATTATTTTAGTTTAATTAGCATCTTCTTTAATTTTCTATGTTGAAATAATTTTAAACTTAAAGAAAAGTTTCAAAGAAGAAGAGTAATCATAGTATGGTTATCAAAACCAAGAAAATTAACATTACATCTTTTAAACACAATCTTGGCATATATAGCTACTACCATTTTAGAACAATGTGTTTTGGTAGCATGGTAAAGTTGTCTTACACCTGGTCTTAGAAACTTTCTATATATTCATAGAAAATTGGATGGGAAAATATATAGAATCAGAAATCCAAAATAAAATAACAGTAAAAAATACTTTTTGCTAATATCTTTCTTTGGTGTCCTTGTCACAAGTTCTTCCCAAATTGCTTAGATTGTTTTGTCTGAATATCTGTGCATTTTGTTCCGATTTTATTTTTCCTCTCAGAGATTTTAGAGAGATTTATATTACTTTAAAACCTTTCAGTTGGATTTCTTTTCTCCCCTGGCTTATGGAGAATATACAGGTTTTGCACGACCAATTAACTAAACCATTGACCAGTCTCCCTTTGTTTCACAAATGTCTTCATGGAAAGCATTGCTCTCTTTCTCTCTTTTTAAAAAGTCATTTCATGATTTATTTGAAAGCAATTTTGTTTGTTGCTGTTGATTCTGAGCCCTACATCGTTTGAGTTTGGACCAGGACAAACAGGGGTGTTAGTAAAAGTTAACTGTTAATTTCAACCTAGTCTCTCTTCAGCCAACCTGATTTTTAATTATCTTTTCAGAAATTCTTGCCCTTAAGCAGGTTAAGCTTTTAGTGTACATGGAAAAATGAAGCATGAATCAAGCCAATGCCAATGCTTTTATGTCTCTACATTTATTGCAGTCTAATTTCAATGAGTACTTGACCTCGAAAGCTGGGAGCCAACGGCAGGGAGACCAAGGGACATTGACTTATCCTTCAGAGGTCAGCGGAAAAATTTCACAAGTAAGAAAATTTAAAGTAAACGAACCTCAAGGAATGCAGCAAAGTGGCCTCTTCAAAGCTGAATATGTCTTTATTGTGGACTCTGAAGGGGAAGATGAAGCTACAAGCATAAAAAGTGAACAAAGCCCCCCAGGGGAGATGGGTACCGCAGCTACTCGGCCCACATCTCTAGCAATCTCCTCCAACCTGGTCTCTGATGTGGTGCGCCCCAAAATACGAGGAACAAACCTCCAGGCCCCATCACACCCTGAAATGCCTCATGGAATGGCTTCTCAGCAAAAGCATGGGCAGGTAGGTTTTTCTTCTTATAAGAAAAAATACTGTTTACATACCCTTTGTTCTAGGCTGCCTGCAAAGGCCTTCCTGGTCAAGGCATAAAAAACTCTTAAAGAAAAAGATACTGAAAAACCAAAATCTTAGGGTCATAAATTAGCACAGTATAAATATAGGTAATTCATTTATAAGACAAAAAGAATTATACAATTATACTGTGAATTGACTGAAGAAAAAATGTAAAACATTTAGCTGGAGTGGATTTCTGGAAATATTGCTTCTTCCTTTTGAACAATTCTGGGAAGGCTGATAGTGGGAGTTTCTTAGGACATCAACTGGATTTGAGATATAGACAAGTTACTTTTTACTAGGAAAAGAGTAGTAAATGGGTATACTAGGAAATAAGAGTGTGTAAGGAAAATAATTCTCAGCTGTGTGTCTTAAGGGAAGTATCTACTGTGGTCCTGGAAACCTCCAGGGTGGGATGAGAAGATCCCATCCCAAAACTTAGCAGCCAGAATGAAAGTTTTCTTTAAGGTGGAGAGCCTTTGGTACAGTAGGAGAAGACCCATGTTTGTGATGGCAAGGAAGAAATGTCAAGGAAAGAAAGTTAGGGAGGGATTTTGAAGGAAAAAATAGGGAGATTTTGCCATTGACTGTCTATTTGTTGTAATGAAATTATAAGATGACTTTAACAAGGTGTAGGCAGAATGTTAGGAATGCAGAGACTGGCTTTGGAGTAAATAGTGGATGGGGAGTTGCCCTTGACAACATGAGTCTGTACTAAGATGTTCTATTTAGGGTCTACCACACCAGGCATTTGTAAGCATCCCAAAGTAGTTGGGAGAATACTTTTATTGGTGAGTTGGCCTTTTGGTGCTACTAGGATCTATGCAAAACTGTGGAGTAGGCATCTTATTTTTGGTGCCACCCCATCTTTATGTCTTCAGCCTTCACTGGCTTCCTGATGCTGTATTCATATCTCCTTCAAGCATCTAGGATGTGGCCTTTTGGTGATAGAAGACTCTCACTGGGCTATCCATACTCAGGTCTACTGGACTAAAACATATATTTCTTCTTGAAGTTTATTCTCAGGTAGTTATTGGAAATATTCTAATCACATAATCAAACATGTTCTCAGTAAGTGGTGATAGGCTTATACATTTTTTGTTGCCCCAGGAAAGGTGATGGAATACCAAGTAGGAGATGTGGGGGTTTCCATTGTCAATGGCGGTAGTTTGATGGGGCCCCTTTGAAGGAGAATATGTAGATGTAATGATATCAGATATAAATAAAGAAAACTATTCTTAATGAAGATATTTTGTGGGTTTTTTTTTTTTTTTAATGCACTCTTTTCCTCAATTGATATATTTCTTCCCAAGTTGGTTGTTTATTTTGTTTTCATGTGACTAAATATATAGAGGTCAAACTGGAGTCTAAACATACACTTTGGAATCTTTTTGCCAACAAAGCTTAGTTAGGAGATTATAGTTTATGTTATTAGAGCTCTAAATGAAAAGGCAAAACTCAACCTAATTCCCTAGTAGTGGCTGAATATGATGATTATCATTAATGGAAGATTACTGGATCCTGAAATGTTTGGGAATAGCCATTATTCCTGTTTCCATTTTCCTTAATAATTCATTTCAGTGATGAATAGTATGCCATCATGAAATAAAAATGAGATGAATTCAAAATAAGATGACTATTACCCACAAATTTAAACTAAAGAGAAATAACCAGAGCACGAAAGAAGCCACTCTCAGAAGTTTAATGCAGTCAGTAGTAGAAGTTTAATGTAAAAAGTCTAAAGACTTTCCCATGACTGGATTACTTGGTGCCAGCAACATCAATTTTTCAATCAGAAATGCAGTTAAGTGATTTTCTGACCAACCTGGTAAAAGTGAATCTACTTTAACCTTTTCATAACCTAAGCTAAATGTTATTTTCTATCCATATCTTGTATCTCTTTTCTTTAGCTCCCCTAAATTATCACCAATGTTCATACCTTTCCATACCTGAGCCCTTGACTCCTCTGTGTATAATGCTTCTTTATTCCCCAGGCCCAAGGCTGTTTTGGCCTGGGCTACTTGATACTCTAAGCTCAGCTCAAGTAGCACCTTTTCCTAGAGACATTCCCTTTGGAGATGGGTTAAGTTTTCTCCTTGATCTTTGTCATTTTTCTTATAGTTTTGTAACATTTTTAGAAAACCTTCAATATAATCCTTTTGATTTAATAATCCTTTTGTTATAATAATTGATTTTATATTTTTTCCTCACTAGACTGAGAACAACTTGAAGTCAAAGTCTGTCTTTTGTTTATTTCTCTATCCAGTGCAGTGTCTTGAACATAGGTGAAGTTCAATAAGGTGTATGAACAGAGAAATATTTAGAAGTTTACGTCCTTGAAGTTCTTTCTCAGATATTGACTTCTTCGTAAAGTCTACTTTAGTCCTTTCAGTGAAAGCAAACTCTCCCTCAATTTAATTCTGATAGCTTTTTTTCCTGAACATTTTTTATTATAATTATCCTATTACAGCATGTATTATAACTATTAAGATTCGTGCCTTATCTTCCCTAACAGACAGTAAAGTCTTTACAGGTAAAGATCCTGTTAAATCCATTTCTATTGAACATTTTGTTCCCTATAGTAGTTACTGTATTATCTTGAATAATAGTATAAATATTGGGTTGAGTGTATTTTTGTTCCAAACGTTTTTATTGTAGTGGCATGTAGAATTTAAATTTTAAAGTGTAAGTCAAGAGTAAAAATGCTATGTAAACAGTTGAATTAAAATCCTCATAAATAAAATTCAGAAAAAAAGTAATGTTTTTGAATATTGGTGTAAAGGTGTCAGAATTGTCTTACCCAGGGACAGTATTAGAGTTCCAAGAGAGGTGAATATACACATACAGACACAGAGTGATTTGTCTGAAAGACCTATAATAAAATCTGGAGTTAAGACAATGATAATGGGAATAAAAAGAGAAACTTATGGGGTAGAGTTAACTGAATTGTTTTATTGACACTATATGAGGAAAATCAACAATGTGTGAAATTTATAACCAAGAAACTGGATGAATGTTGGATTAATTGGGGAATGAATAACATGTCTTGGGAAGGGATAGGAAGAGGTAAGGCATCCAAGGGTAGTTTGAGATGAGATGTCTTGCTAGCATAGCATGATGATATCTAAAAGGAAGGTGGGAGTGTGAATCTGGAACATAGAAGAGATCTGGGAGACCAGAGGTATTTGCTGCATAAATTAAAGTAATGAGAATGGAGATATTTACTTATGGAAACAACATAGAACAAGAAGGCATAAGATACAAGTCAGGGAACAGGAAAACATAAAGGGCCTATGAGAGAAGGGAAGCCACTGAAAGAGACTGAGAAGGGACCGAAGAAGCTAGAGAGAGGGCTTCATGCGATGGAAACTAAAGGGACTTTCACCAAAAGAGTAGTCTATGAACCAGCTCAAATACCTAAATACATAATATTTAATTAAATTAATTGGTTTTTTAAAGGTTGCTCAGTAATTATTTTGTAGAACTCAGATGAATCTAGTATCAATCATATCAACCTGGGAATACAGAAAAATAACTGATGACTTTTATAATAATTATATAGTAATAAATAGTAACTTTCTGGCAGTGTGAAGTACTTTGAGTACTGAACTAAGGTTATCAAATATGAAGTACAATTGTTCTCTTTTATGCTGAGAGACCTCGTGGAGAGGGATGCTTTTCTTTACAACATTGTACTTTCATAGTTTCTTGCTGCCTTGCCAGGTTGTCTTACTGTACGCTAGCAAGTAATTCTGCCAAGTGGACAGCCAGGTTAATATGTGCTGATGTTTGGTTAGGGACGACGGGTGAGTTGGGAGATTTAAAAGACCCAGGTTAAATCTGAGGAAAGGATCAGAGGCCTTTTGCTGACATAGCTGGATATGAAACACTAGGAGACTCTAAGGGAAATGTGTCCCCTGTAAGGTAGGAAGGGCAACCTCTCTCCTTAGTGAGGATTATCAGGATCAGAAGATGTGGAGGGATGAGGCCAGGGGTATGGGGTCTGACCTGGCCACAGTCTCAATTCAGAATATGGGAGCCCTTTCACTCTTCCAGGTCAGCCCCTAGAGCCTTGCCCCCCATCTCCTACTTGGAGCCACACCTCCTCTGTGCTCTCTCCTACTCTAGGAGAGCCAAATGAGGTTCCCTAACATCTGACCAGTTCAGCTACAGGAGAGGTACCTGGCACCTTTTATTAAAATATCATATAATATTATTTATTAAAATAAAATTTAATATAATATAAAATATTATAAATGTAATACAAGGAAAAATAAAACATAAAACAAAGTTCAATAAAACATGGCCCTCAAAGTTTTCTAAATCTGAAAATTAGGAGGTTATTTGGTGACTTTAATGAGAACAGTATGAGTGAAGTGGCAGGGGCACAAATTAAGTTGAGGAATGGATAGATGATGAGGAAAGGGAGGTCGTGCATTGAAGGGATTATATGGAAAAATAAAAATGAGGCAGGCAACTGACTGGCCATGCTCTTCTGGGTAATTACTTGTAATCATAAACCTTAGTTTTCTCATTTGCAAAATGGGGTGATTATATCAACCTCTTTTATGAAGATCAAATGAAATTATATATTATAAATATAATGAGATTTCATATATTTATTTATATTTATACATAAACTGTTCATAACAGTTCCTGGCCCATGATAAGTTCTTGACAAGTAATTTACTATATTTAAGAAGTCTAAGAAGGCAGCATACTTTGGGGTACAGAGTGAGGAGCATGTGAGGAGGGAGAGGTGTTAATTTTTGGTTCAAATGTAGCTTGTATGTAAGAACTGAGGAGAGACATGGAGAATAAGAACAGAAGAACTAGCTGAGGTCAAATGAAGGAGGTTCTTACATAAAATTCTGGGAGATTTGGTCATTAGCTCACATATTTATTAAGTACCTAGATTTCATGGATCCATGAAAAAGGGATAACAATTA